TTGCTCTGTTCTTTATATTTGCCCTTTTAAATCAGAGGAACACACACCCCTAAGTACTTTTCCTGTACTTCAACTTCATATTCCTTTTCTCTTCATAGTTTGCAACAGCCCCTTAAGAGCTTAAAAACAAACATTGCTTCGTTCTCCTTCCAAATGTGTCTCCTTCCATTTATCAAACACTAATTCCCTGCACCCCTTGTGTTACTAATTAAGCTTAAAATTAACATGAGAGTAAACAACTAGAACCTCGTTTGTGCATCTGCATCATCAGAGATGACAGGAGAAGAAATGTTGTGTCAAGTCCCTATCCTCAGAGCACATCTCCTGGAGCACATTGATAGCAAAACCAGTGAAGTTTCAAGCTTTGCTATTCCACAGGGTTACCATAAACAACAACAGATCTTCAAGGCAACCTTCACTGATTCTCTGATGAAGGGAAAGAAGAAAGACTTCGGCTTGGAAAAGTCCACAAAAAGTTACCAAAAATTCCTCCAGCATTTGCTTCTTATGAAAATTCCCACCCTGATATATAAAGAGAAAAATGTGTACTAAAAGACAATGGGCACAGCAACTGACAGGCAACCACCCAGGGAAGGTCCAGCTTGAAGCTGGAAAAGGAAAGGTTTTAGAAAAAGGAGGAGGTTTTAATGCTGTCAGAAAAACAGGCTGTCACATCCTTTTGTGCAGCAGTCATATAAGGAAGTGTGATTATTTTATGACCCTATATTAAGGGTTTAAGGGTATAAATTTTCTCCTCCTCTATACATCATTTTTCTACAGTTGACAAGTGAGAGCTGAGTGCTTCTTAGAATAACAAAGTTTGTTTCCACTTTCCAGAGATTCAAAAAAGCAGGCAAAGCCGCCAACAGAAAAATCAAGACAAATGTCATACCTGATAATTTATTTTAAATTACAGAAATACATATAAAACTGCAAGTTTTAGTCTGGCAGACCTGTATTGGGCATAGTGAAACCTTACTGGCAGAAAACCCACCAATTCCTTCAAAGACCCATTTGTTTGAAGAGCAGACAAAATTCCTTTTACTCATTGAAGGAAGGGTTCATTCCACCCCAATGGAACTCTCTGGAAGTCACAAGAGCAAGGCAGATCTCAACTTCCTCTACTTATATGGAGGACACTTGTAGTCATGCTCCACCAACACAAAATTTATTTTTAGGTGGGAGAGGCTCTCAGGGCTTGTGACACTGCTGGTGCCTGAAATACAAAGCACTCAGGTACAATCCTGACCTTGAGGTCTCCTTTCTCCCTTTGATAATTACTTCCTCTCACAAGTCCAAGAGGAGCAGTGGCAATGGCTGTGATTACATGCATGAAGGAAGCACTAATACAACTGAAATGTTTATGGCTCTGGACAACTTGCAAGAAGGTATTTTCTACCATGGAGCATTAAAAAAAAAAAATACAGATGGGATCTTATTGTCTCAGCCTGATTATGGGAGAGCCCAGGAGCTGTTTTAACCCTCAGATGCCATTGTCCTCCTCACAGCCTACACACACAAAGAGAAAGCAAACCACCTTTGGTTTTATTGGGAAGTCTTGCACAGGGGTCACTACCTCACCATAAGGTGAGGGAGTAAATGTCATGAGTGATATAATCCCTCTGATTAGAAATCCACCTCAATCCTCTGATATCTGAGAACAATTTTATTGACATTTCTGTTCCTCCTTTCCTCCACTGGTATATTGTGATTTCTCTGGGACTTATCCACAGAGCAGATCACTGGGGCAGTGACTCATGATAGGAGCATTTCTGGAATAAATAGACTTTTTATTAACAAAGTGAGAGAGATGTGACCTCTGGTAAGTATTTCTGAATCTTTCAATAAAATTATGGAATTTAACTGGAGAACAAGAAGTATGGAAAGGAACAATTTTTCAAATGCAAGTATTTTCCTGTTTTGAATTTAACTCTTGATGGCTTGTCTTAAGTTTTGACATTCACAGGTTGTTTTCTCCCAAAACAAATTTCATGTCAGAGTCCTCTCCCACTCCCTCGCAGTGACATCTCAAGACCAGTTACAACATCAGTTCTTACCTCCTGTGTCACCTGCACACAGATTTTCTTGCCTTTATTGAAGATACTCCTGCATCAAGCTGAATACTGTTTGTTTTAAGCATATCCCTTCAGTAATTCATGTCGGTTTTTTTTAACTAAATACAGCTAGAAGAGCTGCTCTCTATATATCAATCCACCAAGTCACTTTAAGTTCATATTCTCAGATGATTTATGTCTTCTTTCTGACATGGAACCATTTCCTTGAGCTCAGAAGGTGGCTTAATGCCTGTCTGACTACCTAAGTGGCAATTTAATCTTTAATTGGAAAGTACTACTTCCACTTTTCCACGTGCCTTGAAAATGAACTCCCTGTAATATTTCCTCTGTACAGAAGTGATCGGAAGGAAACTTTGCCATGGGTTCTGCGATTTCCTGCCACTCACACCAGAGGCTGGGAGTGGAAAACACAAATGGTAGTGGAGTTGGATGCCTGAAGAGATAAATTCAGCTCTCATTCTACCAGATCCAGGATGACAAGGACAGGGAAGCACTGTTATCAGCTGGGCAAAGCTGGGATTGGAACATATTTCTGCTAAAGTACAAGCTGACAAGTTCCACCTAGCCTCCAGAGGCAATAAATTCACATGAACATTGCTGTGTCCTCATTTCTGTGCGGGGTGCAGAACTTACCATAACAAGTCCCTCAAATACCACCACTTTCCCTTCTCCTCTTGAAAACTGAATGCCACCCAAGTATTTACAATTTCTACACCAAGAATTACATTTCCAAAGGGTTGCAATCACCCAAAGCAGAGGATGGAACCAACAACAAATGCAAATCCCCTGTCATCACTTCATTATGCAGCTCAGTGTCAGACAGCCCTGTGTGACAGTATTGAGGCTGGACTTCCAAAGTCACAGCAGGACTGAGCACAGCTGGGTGACAGCAGAGACTCTGAGGAGCAGCCCAGGGGAAGGTGTGGTGGGAAGGAGTGATAGCAGCTTCTGACACATGGACAGCATCTCCAGGAAGGGGATGTTAAGGAGACAATGCCCAATGGAAAAGACAGAAAAGGGAAAATTACTCTAAATTGGTTTCTAAGGGAAGGTTCAACCTTGTCACCTACTGAAAGCTTAAAGAGAGTCAAAGCTGCAAACTCTGAGACCCAAGGCTCATGAGGCCAACTGCAGGCACAAGGCTGCTTGTGAGGAGCTCAGTGGGCAGAGCAGAGTTCAGGGATCCTGGTGTGGGTTTGGTTTGGTTCACAGAGAGTGGCTGTGTCAGCCTTGTGTCCCAGAGAGAAAAGGGATTTCTGAGAGTAGCATGAGATGTTTAAGGCAGAAGGAAGCAGGACATGGACAGGCTGGAGTGAGCCTGGAGGAGGCCATGAAGATGATCAGAGGAATGGAGCTCCTCTGCTGTGAGGAAAAGCTGAGAGAGCTGGGTTTGATCTACCTGGGGAAGAAAAGGCTCTGGGGAGACCTTAGAGCACCTTCCAGTACCTAAAGGGGCTACATGAAAAAGAGAGACAAACTTTTTAGCAGCGCCTGTCGTGATATGACAAGGGATAATGGTTTTAAATTAAAAGAAGATAGATTCAGGCTAGTGTCGGAATCTGTGGTATTGATGATCCCAAGATTGTAGAAAGTCTCTGTCTTTCTGCCCCACTGCCAAAGAAGAAGCCATAATTGGTCTGTGCTGGTTTCAAGGTTGTTTATTCTGTTTATCTCTAACATGTTCTGCTGCCCTGCCGCAGCTCTGTCCTGCAGGGCAGCGTGTGGGGCTCTGCCCTCAGTGGGATGTTACAAACATTAAATACCAGAAACTACGTGTGCTATATTTACAATAATGTGCCAATATCTGTCATCTACATTGAACAGTGTGTCCCCAGCCTAAACCAACAGAAAAATGCCAACACTACAGTGAAACATGGAGGGAGTGAAGAAGGAGAAAAAGGACAAGACACACCCAATTTCCTCCATCTTGTCCCCTTTGGACCCCTTATCTAGAATCCTGAAATTTTACTTTTGCACCCGTGCCATACTTAATTATTACTTATATCAAACACTCAGGGCCTGTAATTCATCCTGTAAGATTGAAAACACTTTTCCATGGACAGAGATCACAGACAGTGTCTCTGGGGGCTCTGTCCAGGGGGGTTCCTGACCCTCTGCCAGGGTCCCAGACCTGCCAGGGCAGCCAGAGGGATGCCCTGGATTCCCACAGGCTAGAAATAAGGAAGAGATTTTTAATAGTGAGGATGGTGAAACACTGTCACAGGTTGCCCAGAGAGGTGCTGGATGCCCATCCCTGGAAACGTTCCAGTCAGGCTGGGCGGGGTTCCCCATCCATTTGAGGGCAACCCTGCTCATTGCAGGGAGGTTGGACTAGATGAGCTTTAAAAGTCCCTTCCAACCCAAAATGTTCTATGATTCTGTGAATTTCAGACTGTAAATACGGAGCATATTTAGAATGGGGAGAACAAAATATTCATAAAATTCTGGATTGTCCATCTCAAAGGACAGCTGACCGATGACTAATGAGCCAAAAGCTGTGTGAAAAAAGAAAATCAGCCCAAAGCATGAGTATGGCTCAGGAATTTCTAAGCAAGGCCATTTTCAGAGGAGGTTCAGCAGGCAGAGTTAAGCCCTGTCCCATTTTCTTATCCAGTGCAAATACAAGACTGGAGAGGTCACACAATCCCTCACGTGGGAGCACCATGAGTCCCTCTCCTGTCAGCTCTTGTTCAGAAGAGACTTAAGCAGCATTCTCTGAAAATGATGTAACAACACACACAAGCCTCCAGATTTATGCGAAAGGGAATCATGCTGCTCCTCTAACAATCTCCACTAGGGAATTGTCATTCTGTTACATTTGTTTGCTCAATTAATCATTCAGCCTTACAAGTACGCAAACCAAAGGAGTATTGATCTGAGGATCCATTGTGATGTGTTGACACGGAATGCTGTTACTGGGGCTCCCCATGGAGCTCTCCAGGCAGACCCAGCCTCTCCACCTGCTCACGGCAGCTCTCCCTGCCCTACCCCAGCAAGCCACCTGCTGGAGTAAACTCAGTCAGAGCTGGGTACCCACCTCTAAGGTATGGATGAAAATGATTTTTTTGCCTGTTTATGTAAAAATATGAGATTGTACTAGTGTTGTTTTAAAAAAACTTTTTAAATCTTGACCAAATTACTCTGAAAATTTGAGTTGAGGTGTCTGTGTCCCCTGTCCCAGGTAGGTATATGGTCACTGTAAAACTAAATGATACAAAGCTGGAATACAAGTTTTCCATTCACCTAACATTTATTTTCCATTCTATTTATCTCAACATCATAAAGAAGGGAGAAGCTCACTCAAAAGGATGGGAAAAAAGAGAAGAAAAAGAAAGGAAAGGAAGGAAGGAAAAATTGTGCTCTGTATGATACCTAAGTCCTTTCACAGCTAATACAAGCACAAAAGCATTTTTGTTCCTATTCATAAGCTCCCTCCTCATGTTCTAACAAAAGCAGTTTCAATGACTTTACGTCTCAAGAATGCCAAATGAACCTACCTTTTATATTGCATCACATTTTTTTCCATAGGATAACTGTATCTCACAGTGCCTTAAGTTTTGCTAATAGATGTGGTTGTTTTACTAATCCAATCTGGCCAAAAATGGCACCTTCATATTTCAATAGAAGTTCAATGGCTCGTGGCAGAAGAGCAGGAACATAATTCTGCCTTAGTATGAGCTGTTAGTCCTCTTTTGGAAAGATTAATCAGTTTGCAGGATTCTTTCCTTTTGCCTATAAAATGTAGACTGTTCTTTAAGAGTTTTTAGCTTTACACAAAGGTGTTGATTAGCTGGCTCAAGATCTCAGCACCTGTTTTATTGCCTCTTCCATCACCCACACTCACGTCAGCCTTACCCAAGCTGCCCACCACCTTCTCTGAGGCTCTCTGGCCACTCTCCATTACCTTCTCAGCAGGGCCATATTTCAGTACAAAATGGGCAGGGGAAACAGGGCTGAGTGACAAACAACAAGCCACGGTCTTGAACATCACCCAGAGAGGTCTATAAATCTCCTCTCTTACTGTTTGTCCAAGAGTAGAAACCAGATATTCTTCTCTAATAGATCAAGTCCAGACCTTCCACCTTTTTCTTTAAATGTCCTACATAAATCTGCCTACAAGGTGATCTCTTTCCCTACTATTTCTCTCATGCTCTCACAGTCTACACAACTTGCACCTGTCCCAGATTTCTCCTTAAGGCCTGCAGTATTTGAACTGGGTTGTGCAGCAGGAAACTACAATGCTTTAAAGGGAAATGGCCATTACTTTAATTTACATGTGTACCAAGTAATTATTCTCACCTTGTTAGTATTATCAGGGTAATAAATAACCTGTGTTGTTCTTGTATTGTGCAATACTGTTCTCATAAACTTCCATTGCCTGACACTCAATAGCATATCACTGTCAAGAATGAACAGCAAAGAAAGGCTTGGGCAAGGTTTAAAAACTTCTGGGGGGAACTAACCCAACTATGTCCAAAGAAACTTTGCAAACTAGTTCCCAGCACAATTTAATGGAGCAACTTTGTAATGAAATACCTCTGCAATTACCTAGCAACTTTTAAGAGCAACACCACTGGTGTAAGCAAAGGTCTGGGTTTCTTGTTTTGCCAGAATTGCTAAAGCAGGAGGGTTTTTTGTGGGATGGGGCCTGGAGCAGACACCTTTGCCACCAGATGTTGCTGCAATTCTTGTTTCAGCCAGCAGCCAGGTAAGCTGTGATTTGTGACCAGCAGCTGTGCTGACAAAAGCTTTGCAGTGTGGTTGTGTTGCACCTGTGACACCACTGCTGTGCTGTTTACGGGGAAGGAATAAGCTGTGGCAGCAGAAACCTCTCCCCCAATATCAGTTGCCTGCAAATACCCATCACTGCCTTGGCCAGCAACCTTCAGGTCTTACTCTTCTTGGAAATCAACAAGACACTGCCTTTGGATTGTCGACTTTGGATTGTTTGGTGTAGCATCAAAACCAGGTCTGGTCTCTTTTGTTGCTTATCACTTTTGACAGCATTACTCATATCTTCTTTTCTTAAGTTTCTCTGAATTGTGTGGTTTTATAGAGAACCAGTAAAAATGAACCACCAGAGCACTGGAGAGCCATCCCCAGCTGACTTGTTGCAGTATCCAGGCTCCTTCCAGGCTTCTTCTTACATCCATGGAGAGAGTGATGCTGATAAGCTCTTATAAAACTACTCTTCCTGGCTGTTATTAACCCATTTTAACCTTAAGCCTAATCCTCTCTTCTCCTACCTTTGCCTTCAGCAGCCATTTCATTTATTTTTGTTACAAAAATTTAGAAACACCACCTGAAAAATGTTACCCACACTAAAATAAAAAGCCAGATAATGTCCTGCTGTTCACACTTTGCTGCACTAACTCCCTGAGATACATCACTGGTATAATCAGATTTAAATGTTCAAAAATTGATCATAGTAAGACCAGTGATGAATGGCAGATTAAGCATTAATTATCATAAAAACAGATAAATAGAAGTGAAAATGGAAAATAAATTCTATTGGGTATAAGTAAAAAAATCTTCCAAAGGATTAGCTGAACACTGTTAAGAATTATGCCAGGGAAAGTACTTGATTGTGGATGCTGATTACTAGCTCTATAATTATATTCTTTTTAGCATTTTTTTAATTATGATTTACTTTTGCTAAAATCCTGAAGACTGTTATGGCTACTGCTGTTTATTCCTAAAGATGTAAGAGCTTCCTCCAACATATGAAACCAAACCTCAGGGAAGCAGATCTTCTAAGACCACAACCACCTTCTATCTTTCAGGGAGCTGAACTTAAATCAATGGCCAGATTTCCTAGCTGGGCCCTGGCAATAAAATTTAGGGACACATAAAATAAGAACAAAAAAGAAAAATAATATCACTGGTTTGTTTTATTCTGGCTACACAATGGAATATCAAAAGGTGAAAATGAAGTAGAAAAATTCAAAGCTGAGATTGGTAATTTCAGGGGAGTTCAGTGAAATGATGATAAAAGGCAAGATGTTTTTAAAGCCCATTTACATTAAAATTTCTGGCAGATTTTGAAATGCATCTTCCCCCCCTGCTCTAATCACAGAATACTGCAGAATAAATCTATGTGACAAAAAGAAATAAATCTCTGGCTGCCCCAACTCAGCATGACAACAATAATTCAACAAAGGAAGAACAACATTTCAGCACTCAACAACAAGTAACTAACTTCAGATCTGTCCCTTTCAATCACAGATTATAGACAGCCACTTGAAAACAAAATCTAAAGGAGTTTGGGCTGGGCAGGGTGAGAGGATCCAGGGCAGCAGATTTCTGCCATCTCCCATTTCAATCTTTCTTGTGCAGATCTCTTGGCAAAGCTGAGCTGAGAGTTCAGCTCAGGTTGTGTTTATGTGCTCTGAACTATTTAACATCTTCAATAAACCCTGTGGCTGGGAGCTCATCATTTTACGTACTGAGAGCTCCATTAGTGATGGCTGTAAGTGACACTTTGCATTACCCAGATGATCACAGGTGTAGTTTTTGCCAGGGGATTCTTATTTGGACAAGACTGTGCTGAGAGACATTAATTACATTTCTCTCTTGGTTTTATACATGCTGATTTATTTCCATTAGCTTTTTAAACTCAGAGGCAAATCTGGTGTTCTTCTATAGATATTTTTGCCATATTTATGCATAACAGGGCAGAATTATTAGCCCAGTTTTAATGCCTGCTCCTACATAAAGCAAGCTTCTGATTTTATGAGCAGTAGAAATAGCATCAAGACTATTCTCATGCCTGGGTAGCAAACGTGATTTATCATGTTGGACTGTAAATCCCTGTAAGAGCTGGATTTTGTTACCTCTTGAAAATCTTTCCTTGTTGCCTGCATTGGTGATGTAACAAGACAAGGCTTCCCAAGGCATCCTCAACACGTGACGTCCTCCTTCTGCTGAAGGTCACTTGCTCTCTCCCAGTTCACTCTCAAGGAGTTTACTTGGGATTACATGACAGTAAGAGATTTTCTTGCCTGAGTGAAGACAGGCTTTGCAAACCACTGCAGTTTTATAGTATTTGCTCTGATGTAAAACATGCAAGTGATATCCTGCTTTGAAAAGAATGACATGTATGTGATTTAATCTCTCTAGCACTTTCCAAATTTATCTTAGGATACATCTAACATTAATTTATCCAGAGTCTAGAACTGAAAATTCATTTGGTAGAAGAGTTTCTAGCCTTTTAGATATTCTATTTGTTATTATTTTATTTGAAATTATAAATTATCATGGCATTTTGTGGGTTTATACTTCCTGATTACTCCTTTTGATGAATAAATAAAAAAGAAGTGACACCAGCAGATCTATAAGTAGTGTCCCAGCTGAGGATTTGGCATAATCATCCCAAGCAATGCTGAGCTGAGTGGTCCTGAAAGACCTCCAGTGGTGGGAATTGTACATCTCCCACACAGCTCCACAGATCTTCCAAAAAGACTTTTCCTAACTTCAATGTCATTCTAACCTGAACCTCTCCTTCTATGGGTTAAGATCACTACTTCTTGTCCCACTCCTAGGGCATTCATATTCTCTATTTTTAGGAAACTGAAGACATAGGTCACATTTTTCTAGTCCTTTTCTTCTGGAGTTCATTTTTCAGGGTCTCTACAACTGCTCAGGATTTGCTGTAAAGGTTTCACTAATCCATGTCTGGAACACTCAGCTGAGATCTCACCACTGCTGGCTACAATGTCCATGGACCTCCAGATAATTACCTGTGCATACATCTCCCAGCCCTACATATGGGAGATGTATGCACAGGTGATTATTTGGGATACAACAGCACAGTACACCAATGGTCATGAAAACCTGAGAAAAAGACAATGCATAAAATTAGGTTTTCTTTCCTTTTCTGCAATGCTAATATCTGGAAAAAATTTCCCTCTAGAATGCCACAAACTAGTTTTCATAACATGCAGTTTAAACACCCCTCCAAAAAAAAAAAAAAAAAAAAAAGAAAATCAATCTATTTAATTTTTCTGTAGCAAATTTGCAAACAGTTTCTTTACTAGCTTGGTTTGTAAACATGGAAAAAACCCACATGTTCCTGAGGAAAGCTGTCTAGAGACCCCATCCTCTATTAAAGTCTTTATCTCCCATGTAAGTCTGTGTAGGACAAGCGCTTCTCCTGCAACCACAAAACAGACACACTGTTTTTCTATTTCCCCTGCCTCCCACTCTGCCAGAATTATAACACAGGCCAGGATCTCTACTGGGATCTGGGCTGTCTTTTTCATTTAGGGTGGCACTGGAGACTGCTAATCTCAATGTTTTGCTACCATAATTAGATTAGTCAGAAGCATGAAATGAAGTTATACTTCTAGCTGACCAAATTAAGCTTGGCAATAAATTCAGTCCTGTAACAATCGTAGAACCATAGAAGGATATGAGTTGGAAGGGACCCAAAAGATCATCTAATTCCAACTCCCCTGCCATGGACAAGAACAACTTCCACTAGAGCAGGGAGCTCAAAACCCCGTCCAACCTGGCCTTGAACTTTTCCATGTGTCCACAACTTCTCTGGGCAATCGGTGCCTGTCTCATGACCCTCTGAATAAATAACATCTAATATAAATCTCTTCTTTTTGGTTTAAAACTATCCCCCCTTGTTCTATCACTATCTGACATGCAGACAGTCTTGATGTAGTGCTGAAAGCTCCTTGCCAGGAGATTTGACAGCTCTGTGATTCCTTTATATCCCTATGTTGTGCTGGTAAGTAGTTTCTAAAGCTTACATTTAAACCTCCTGCCTTCATAGCTGCAAAATAGACAAGAAGAATTCCTGATTCAGTCTTTGAAGGTCTCCAGTGATTGTTTAACTCTTCCTGGTTGATCACCTGCTTTTCTGGTAGGTTATGGTCCATTGCAATTGGGTGCAATTTGTGGTGCAGTTTTACAAACCCACCTTGGTGAGGAGAGAAATGCACAGACACAATTTGGGAAGGATTTGAAATAAACTGAGCAATCAAAAGGATAGGTCAGACCACAAAGAAAGTAAGTGGCAGTATAACATATTTGACAAGCAGAAACATCAGAGCTAATAAGGTGCAGCAAAGCACAGGAAGTTATGTTTGATTTTCAGTCATTTATAAGAAGCCCTTCAGTTGACTGTCACTATATTAGCATATTTAAATAGTTCTAATCTGGTTTCATCACTGTGATTAAAATTGCTGACAAGGGTGGATAATAATGATGAACAGAATCAAACAGCAAGGAGTGAGACAGTAAATGGGTTTATAGAGGCATTAGGGCCAGCAGCACACCTAATACAAGAACAAAACCAGATCCCAAGAGGAAAACTCTGTTGACAAAATTACAACTGACTGTGTTTCAAAACTGTCTTTCCTTTCCTCACTTAAGTTCACTCTTTGAATTTGATCACAGATGAAGTGGGGGTCAAAGGGGGTAGAAGATATATGCATCATTCAAAAGGCACAAGTTAGGAGGTATTAGCTCTCAAGTAATTTCCTCAGAGGCAGCAACTCTGATATACCCTGTACTGTCAGATCTGTTGATGGGCAGAATTTGTTGGCACATTGTGGTCCTGTCAAAAATAACTGAAGAGGATGACAAATGCTCAGAAACATCACAAGCCTGAAAACTCATGCGACCTTTCTGAAATTATCTTTTGATTTAAGCATTCTGATTTAAGTATTTTTTATCTTAACTTGGAATCTGGGAGAGCATTTTATTTGATAACGGAGAAACATTGCAAGTAAGGCTTCAAGGAAAAGCATTGATGGTCCTTGAAGAAACTGAAAGACATGGAAAGCACCTCCTTTCTGCATGCCCCAAAGCAATTCAAGCAAGGACTAAATTCAATCCTTGAGCAAAGCAGTAGCAGCAAAGTCATTTCCACATTAAGAGACAATTGATGCGATTTTGAAGAACATTCACAGTGTGGAGGAAGTTCCTCTGTATTCCCCAATGTCTGCCAGAGTCTATTTTGAGCTGCTGGGTTTCTGCAATCCCTCACTAGAGTTTGGAGATGGAGCAGCTGCTGTATCTGGAACAGCAGTATGGCTTTCCTGAAGGACTCCTTCCCTTCAGGCATCACAGCCTTGGGCACTGCACACTGAGTGAGATGACATCTGTCCCAGAGTCTTCTCCACAGGCCCATCTTGAGTTTTTAATCATTTAAGCACCCCAGAACATTTCAGATCCCAACACACGAAAAGGAATTGCATCTTTAGGCCTCCAAATTAACATTAAAAACCTGTTCTCTTCTAATATCATGCCAATGCATTGACAGTGTGTTGTGGCATATATGGGAATTGAGCTCATGTACTAAATTTCAGGCTACCATCCAGGAGACCATTCCT